AATACATAAACATCTAAGGAATATGGGAAACTCCATAAAGAATGTGTTTGGGTGCCTCACAAACTCTGATCATAGTTTCCAATGTGTGAACGTTGCTTTCTCTTCTGTGAACCATTTTTGGATAGATTTGTCACTGGTGATGAAATATTGATTCTCTAAGCGAATATTAAATGCTAAAAACAATGGCTTAGTCCTAGACAAAAACCACTTCAGACCCCAAAACCTGGACTCCATCTGCAGAAAGGGATTCTTTGTATTTGGTGGGACATCAAAGGAGTAATTCATTTTGAATAGTCAGCAACTGGAATGTTTAAATCAAGCCCTTCATCAGAAATGTCCTTCACTTGTCAATTGAAAGGTGTTCTTTTTCTCCACGACAATGCACATTTGATGCAACACAAGATTATGTAGTTGGGTTGGGAAGTTCTCCTCCACCCACCATATCCAGATATGACACCATCAGATTACCATATTTTTCATTTGCTGCAACACCATCTTAATGGGAAAACGTATGCAAATGTGGAAGGTGTTTAAGAGCACATCGACATGTTTTTTGCTTCAAAGCCAAGTAATTTCTTTAATCAGGGCATTAACAACTTGATTGTAAGGTGGAAAAGGAATATCAGTAAGAATGGAGACTATTTTACTTAATAAATGTTTGTTTTAGATATGTTTGGGTTTTTCATCTAAAAAAAGTGACATTAATTTTTTGATGATCTAATATACAAGTAGTTCTGTCTTGTTGAGATGTTCAGAGTACATTCTAATCTTACCAAGTTTATCATAAAAAAATTAATACATGACAATTGAAATTTGTCATAGTTTTTGTGGTGACATCTTATACAGAACAGATACACAAATGTTTACCCCCATAATGTAAAGAATGAGTTGTTGATGTGTTTTGTGATGTGCCTTTTTTAGATTGGAGAGAAAATGAGTTTGATCTGAATTTAAATGAAACAGTTTGTGAAGGAATATTTTACACTTTTCCAGTTTATCTAATAATTATAACTATTGATCATTTCATAAGGCATTTCAATTTTAACTTGGTTGAATATTTATCAATAGTACATAAGATTTTGTGAATATATTTTGTACAATTTACTTAACAGAATCAGATGCTTCAAAAAAGATTAACTATTCATTTTCAAATGTAATCTTGTATTTATCATATTATAATAGTAGTAGTAACAGTAGCCTTCTTCTGAAAGATACAAACCTTACATTTGTATTTTTTGTAAAAAGTAAGACAGCTTTTTTCTATTGTGCTATTTTCTTGTAGTATTTTGATGATAATTTTTTTTCTTTTTAGACTGAACTATGAACTTGGAAACTCAGGAAAGGTGTATTCATGAAGTTTTAAAAGAATGAAATGTCCTTCAAAAATCAGTGAAATAAAGTTATAACAAAATCAATGTTTTAGGTACAAACTGTATGAAGTAATGGAAAGTTGTACAAGCTCAAGCACGAATGGGAATATTGACTCATGAGAAAGAATAACACTACTGTATATGCAACACTGTATGAAATAGAAGTTGTAGAAACTTTAGTATGTAAAAATGAATTCAGATATTTATTCATCGTGAAAAGGCCCACCACTGCTGTACATACAAGACTCGTATACAAACTGTGATAAGTAAAACTTTATCCAAATGTTTACACAAGATAACACCAGAATCAAATGATCAAAAATGGCAAGATTTATAATTATAAGTGTGATTTTGAAAAACTAACTGTTAAACCCTATTATTATGGGTCACCCTGGACTGCACATGTCATGAGATTTAATCTTTCATTCAAAATTTAATTAAGCAATATTACTATTAATGTATACCAATAAAATTAGCATTAAACTTTCTATTATACTTCAAAGTTTATATTATCTAAGTTTTAATTCCTTTATTTCAAAAGAAACCTTAAAGAAAAAATTAGTATCCGTTTATATTACGTGATCGACAAGTTCACAAAATGTTATATTTTTGTCTTTTTTTTAGCTTGTCTATTTCTTCATGTATGCTGAACTTCTATGTAAAAACAGAAATTAAGTTAATTGCCTTGGTTACACATCTTTTCAAAATTCTTAGGGTTAATTCTTCCCTGCCCTAGGAAATATATTTTGCTTCCTTCTGACATGCTATGCCCACATTTTAGATTTCCAAGTGAATTTGTATCCCACTCTACTTAAATGTCATATTTATAACCAATCAGAAGATGTTTCTGCTATTTATCTTTTTGAAAGGTATTTCAGATAACTCCCATTGTTTCTTTCAACCAATCATATATTTTTCTATACAAAATAAGGCACTCCTTATTTATGTTTTCCAAACCAATCAAGTACAAGGGATACTCCCATTTTACATAATCTAAATTCCTGATCTGAACACATTTTGATGTGAATGTATGAATATCTTGTATTGTAAAGAACAGTTACATACCTTTTCCAAATGCAATCAACTTCGTTTGAAACATTTACCTTTGAAAAGCCAAACAATGCCAGTATGTAATTCTGGTATATACTGGTTCAATATTTTTTATCAGCCGAGATTGTCAGACTTGTTGATTTGTACATTCAAAAGTATTTAAATATACTGCTCTCAACCCTCTATCAACTTTGTGTTAGCAGTAAAAGTGTGATATTAAGTAAATGTTCTGAGAAATAGGTATATAGTTTTTAAAAAACTTTATGATAGCCTATTTGTGTGCTTTTTTGTGTAGAACTGAGGTTTATACATAATATGAAGATAGTAAGTTAGTCAATATTTAATAGTAACTTACTTATGCTTCATATATGCAGATAATGTTGACTGCATTTGATTTTGTGGAAAAACTTTTATTCCAAATGTTTACTTTGTTCTGTGTTTACAGACTGATGTGCATCTTAACATTCTAATACTACCCGCTGTTGCACAGCATAGTGTAAATGTAATAAATTGTATCTCTGCATTTTTAACAGCTATTTATTGTAATATTTACTGCTGATAGTAAACTCAAATTTTCAAAATTCTCCAAAAACTTTTTATTCATTAATATATCTTTAGAAAACAGTAACTTAAACTTTCTTTTACAGTTTTTTGTAATATATAATATGAACCATAAAATTGAATATATACATTATAGATATTACAGTAATATAGTACCATATCCAGCAATTGGTAATTGTTTGATATTAAACTGCTACATATACAAATCACTGTGAAGGTTGGCTGTAAGGGAGATATATGGAGGCAAGGTGATTTTTATACTGCATCGCTGGAAAGGTGTAATTGTTAACATTTATTCAGTGTAGACCATGTCTCAAATATTTACAATATCTTGGATTTGTGTTTAATTTGAACTAGGGGTTAGAGAATTTTGTTACTTTTTGTGGGAATCATTTAGATGTCAGTGTTTATTTTTTAGGAATTATTCCATTTTTTTTTAAATATTTAGATCTTTATTCAACATGCTATTAACTTAAAATGCTTCAGTTCTCCTGCTGTTGCTTTTCCTCTTGCTGTAGATTTTATTAATTTTTCCTGCTTTATTCTTAGCTGATAATAACAGGAACTCTTCACACGTAGCTGTACTTTGCTCCATGGGGTGGTGAATGCAACTTCAGTTCTGCCTTTTGTGATCCTTTGGTTGTTATGACAGAACTAAAGTAACTGTCAATTTGCTTTCATTTAACCATTAATTCTTACAAGCACTGAATTCAGGCAACAAGATACAGCTCTTCTATTCCTGTACTCTAAAGGACTTCTCTCAGTCATCTTATGGAGTATTTTCAACTGTTTTTTTAAATCCATGTTAGTTCATATTGTTAGTGATCACTTGCTTTACTTCTGATCATTATTGACTATTCTACAAAACAGAAGTCAACCTGTCAGATCTGGTAACATTTTGAGTATCATTAGAATTAATTTTTAACATTTCTTGGGTCTGGCAGATTCTAATATCATTCTTTTATGTATCACTGAAATAACTCTCTCAGTATATTGGGTATCTGAAATAACTAGTACCATGGGTGTTTCTGTATGAAACTTTGCTAAGACACCTGGAAGAGCAGCAGCGGATATAAAATAAGCCAACTTGGCAGGAAGTCTGCTGTAGCCTTTAAAGCTGATGAGATGCTTGGGTAACTGTTTCCTTTTGAACTTGTTAGCTGAAGTAGAATGGCCCAGTAATGTTGAGTTTATATACCACAAGTAAAATTACCTGTTCCCAGTGACAGGAAAAGGTTCAGTTAATCTAGCAAAAATACCCATCTCCAGTAATGGAAAAAGTTTAAATTAGTCTATCAACTTAAATTATTTCATGGACTTTAAAAAGGTTAATTGTGTTGTGCTCCTGCTTTCACTCGGAGCCAAAGCTCTGAGCTACTTATACCACCCACTGCGAAAAGTAATTGTTGAGCATTTCAGTCATGCTAAGAGCTGCTCAACAATAACATAAGGTAAATCTGCATTCTTTTTTCTTTAAGTTACATCACATTTTTAATTTTTGAATGATAGTGTGATAAATTCCTAACGATTTAGTTTAGAATATCCTACTTGCAAAATAAAATTAATCAAAAACCCCTTAGTTGTGAAAAAAAGGATTGAGTGTGTGAATTAAAGGAATGAAATCAAAATTGGCAGCCAAACTGATAGCTACACTTAAGCATTGATAAGAATTTTACAGCAAATATTCATTCATTAGTTAGCCAGGCTGGATTTTTTGTTCAACTTGGGGCACAATTTATAAGAAAATAGTTTTAAAACTAACAAACTAAATAGATATATAACATACAATATCTAAAATACCTGTAATGGTAGTTGGTGAATAGAAAATATTACCTAGTACTTCAGTTTACTGTGTTACACTATTTTATCCACATTGATCTTTAACATAAGATTTTTATTGGACTGATTCCCTTGTGTATATCATAAATTAGTCATTCAATGAAAAAAATGTATATATTCTGTGTATAATAAATATTGTTCAGTAATACATAACTAAATTTTGTGATTTTTTTTTTAAACAAGTGTTTATAAACTTGATAGTGGGATATAGTAGTAACATACTGTGTATTATTAAATTATTAGCTACCTGGCCAGGTCTGATTCTGTAAAAAGGCATTGATGAAAAAATCCCATTAGTATGTAATGTTACGTATGAAACATGTGACATAGATAATGTCGAAATTAAATGCTTACGCTTTTCTCTGCATACAGAATATGAAATGATTTATTGAAAAAAGTAATGTTTTGGTACTAAATTGATCTGTGGATAAATACCTGGGGTCTTAAATGTTTTACAGATCAGAAGAGTGGATAAAATGTTATATTCAATCGTGAACAATTACATATGTGTTGAGTCTCCTTTCTTTCTTGTGAATTTTATACAGTCTAAAAGTCAGGAAAATATTGGAATGTGAACATCATTGTGATATAGCATCAATCTTCACTGTACTAATGAAGGTGTTTTTGAGATAAAATACAGTGGAGATACCCCCATCTCCCCAAAACTTCTATCATGTGAAGAAGAAGAAAAGAGAGCAAAGACTAATTTTTTCTTAAGTATATTGTATTTATATGCATTTGTTTGTGTATTTTTTTATATTACAAATACATATTTTTCAAGTATTATAATTTACTGTATTTAAAGTATTTTAAATTTAAGAGGGAAAGGTCGTGGTTGTAGAGAAGGGGAGAGGTTTGGGGGGGATAAACCCCATTCTGAAATTTCTCTTACACTAACATATACATATTTATTTAATATTGCACAAACTTTTCAAGTATTGTATATTGATGTATTTTTGTAATGGGGATTCCCCCCCTCAAAATGTTAAAAAAATCGGAGCTATTTTTTCAGAGAGGGAAAATATTAAAGATAAGCAAACAGAATACTGGAAGTGGCAATATTTTCTGTTTTTCAAGGGGTGGGGTGATTTTTCTAGGCATTAGAGCTTTGTCGATATGTTAGGTAATTTCCATTGTTCACTGTCATATATTCCTTTCTTAAGAATGTAATAAGCAGTTTACATATTACCAGGATTTTTAAAGTGCTATTTTTCTCCACATTCTTTGGTAATTCGGCTTTACAAAATTGACCCCGAGTAAAAAGTGCAAGTTTCAGTACTTATGAATGTAGGTAACTCAGAATTTCCTACTGGGTTTTAACTACATGCAGATTAACTGTTTATATGTTATAGTTTTCTAATGGTACTGAATGTGTTTAGTATGACACGAAGAAGCTTTTGATAGCCACTTAAATTCATTAGTTTCATTACTGTATTTTGTTACAATTTAACTGTTACTTTAAAATTCCACTTCAAAGAACAGTTAGAGTTGGTGTTTTTTGCTAAGTTTTAAATTAAAAAAAGCTGCATTACTTGTACATAATATTTCTTAAATAACTGAATAATAGAGTTACTGTTATCTGTGTTTTTCTCATTTTGTACATTTATATTTACAAAGACTATTGGTTAGAGATGATGTGAAACTGATTTATAACTATTACACAAATTTCAAAAAATTCATAATTTTTCTACTTTGCATAAACCATTAACTAGCAAAATGCCATAATTTATTATAATCATATTTCCTAGTGTACCTGTATGGGTGCTTTTTCATTCTTTATTTTTTTATAAAAGTGTTGTATAAATCTTTAGTAACAATATCAAGTATTGCAGAAAATGGAGGTTATATTTAACCCATACTGCTTCACATATATTGTATCTGGATTATTTTACAATTAAAAACTTTTCTCTAATAGTTCCAGTAATTACTAATTGTCATTCTGTACCCAACATTGAATAATTTATCAGTCTGAAAGAAAGTAAACACTTAACCCTTAATTATTTTGCAATTAAAACTTTATTCTTCAAACTGTGTAAAGTTACTTTCATGCAGTATGCTTGTGTTTAGTTACAATCATTAAAACGTTATTAATTTACACGATAAGTAGTAGGTTGATGTAGTTTAAAGTAATTTGGTAAACACACTAAATCTTTAGCTAATTACTGTCCAATCTAGTTATCACCTAAAAGGCAATTAAAGAGTGCCATTAGCACTTCAATTACTGTATGTAAAATCTGAGGAATTGAAGAAAATACAGTGATACAACTTTTCAAAGTACAATTACAGAAAACAAGACTCAGCTATAAAAGGTGGTTCTGAGTTAAGTTGACTTTTGTCACCACTATCTGATGTACTTGTTTGAAATCTGGTGTGAATAATGATATTAAAGGAATATAACACATTATCTTGAAAATGTTGGTCAAAAACTATCCATTTAATAATGTCATTTTCAAAACAGATGAAACTTAAAAATAATATCTGACTGAAAGGTTGTTTTTTTTTAATTTATTTGAATATATGTAGTTTAAATTGCTCATGAAACACACACACACAACAAAGACTTTACTATGTAAACTCAGTCATTATGATTTAAGTTGGGGGAATAATGAGTATATAAAACTTATCAAAAATAATATCAAAGTCCATATGTTTTATATCTGCTCTGTTAAGATCTCTTACTGATTTAAATAAGGAAATGTAATTAAAATTTGTATTTAAAATTTTTATTATCATCAATTTATTTAGTTCCAGTATTTACATATAAATTTAGTATTTGTTGCCATATGGTGTATAGAACATTCTCAGCCACTATTCTAGCATCATTCAGGATTTGTACTATAAATATAATCAACCTTTATAGAAATTAAACCTATAGCACTAAGTATAGACCTTTAAAAACACGTTTTCCAGAATTTACAAAATTGTGAGAAATTTTGGGAAACCTAAGTAACATTTAGAACTTAACTATGTTACTTTTCCCTTAAATCAAGTCTAAAAATATCAAACTTTAAAGTACCTACAAGGATAAGAAACATTAACATTTTGAACTAGTATTGTTAAGAAATTCAATAATAATTATAAAATTACAACACACATTTGGTAGGAAAAAAGTGAATTTTGTTCAGACAAAGGTGAGTTATGTTTGAATATTATTTACTAGACAGAAAAGTTCTGGAAGTTTGTCCACTTTAAATAGTGGATTACCTGCTCATACACTTAATTAATAAGGTGCACATTTAACTACAAACTGTCAAAGAAAGTGATTAAATTAGAAGTAACTAAAACCACCTTTTAGTATTTATGTAATTCTGTGGTTAGTTTAATTAAAACAAATTCAAAAATGCAAATTCTTACAAAGTTTTATCTGAAATATTAATCATAATGTTTATAGCAAATTACTTAGTGTTTCTAAAATATAGAAGGATAAACAGATGTTGTAATAATAACAATAAATATACAGCCTACCAAAAATATGATAGATCATAAAAAATCTGTTGTAAACTAATGATGGAACTTAATATAAATTGATCTAAAACTTTTATAAGTTACCCTAAAATCTACTTATGTTGCAATAATCTAAAAACACCACCTGGCATTACAAAATATCTATTAATAAATATTATAAGTAGAAATTTAAACAAGATGTAATTTTTAAAACACTGAAAATGCTAATACTTGTAAGTCTATGTAACAAATGTTTTTACAACATTTTGAACATCCTAAATAAGGATACGGTAAAATTCAATTTCATACACACACGGTAAAAATTGCACTAATTAAATGATACACTGGTTCAAGTGTGCTACTCACTAATTGAATCTGAGAAATATTTAAACCAAATGATTAAATAAATTTAATATGTGAAACAGCTTAATGCTTCATTTACATATTTACAGTAGTAATAACAGGTAATGTGATGGTTATGTACCTCTGTTCTGTGTGTGTGTGTGTGTGTGTTTAAAGAAAAGTTATCCACCTGCTTGATGTCACAAGCTCTTGTGAGGAGCTGACTAAACACATTTTGATGAAATAGGGCAAAATAACTCGGGTTGAATTGAAATGGATAAGCAATCAGACATACAATTTGAGTTTCGTCGCTATTTCAATTGTTATTACATGGAAACAGTGCCAAATGAAAGTGATATTTAGTACCAGGTAGAGCATGGGTACCTTTGTTGATTGCAAATGACATACATGTACACTGTTCTGCCATCTTCCTCCATAAAGCCAATGAAATCAGAGAGACAAATAAATAACTCCAAAGTAGTGTAAAGTAATTCAGGTATTTTGAATAGAACCATGATAAACACTTATTTTTTTACCAATCTTTGTATGCAGATTATATGGGTTAATATTTATTTGTAAAACACCGTTTTTGTTAAGAATACTGGAGCTTCTGGTTCTCATTAAATGTATATACATTTCAAATTCCAGCATCCAATGTCAAACTGTCAAGTTTTAGTTTGCAGTGTAGTCAACAACTAAGAGGTGATTTGTATGTAGAATTTGTTGATTAATAGGAATAGTACTGTTTTACATGAAAAGCTTCTTAGATTACAAAAGACTTCAAATGAAATATTATTAAAATTTTGAAAGTTTGCTTAACATCATCACATTAAGTTCTAGAAGTTTTAACCAAACTATTATATATTTCTTACCATTCTAGAATAAAACAATGGTGACTAGATTTATAAAATTGGAACCTTAATTACATAAGACAGCCAAGTATGAAAAATCCAAGTTTTAAGGAAGTATTAATTTTTAAAAAACCAGTATACAGTTTCAGAAAATATGTGGGAAAATTGTACACTCATGTAAGTTGTTGTTTGTCAGCACAAATCTATATAATGGGCTTTCTGTCCATGTAATCTAGATTTTAGCATTGTAATTTTTTAAAAATTGTACACTCATGTAAGTTATTGTTTGTCAGCCCAAATCTATATAATGAGCTTTCTGTCCATGCAAACTAGATTTTAGCACTGTAATTGTTTAAAAAAAGAGTGCTGATCCACCAGTGGTAACCATTCTTGTAAGAACTATGAATCCTACATAATGTATTACATGTGGCTTCAAATATATATATATATCTAATCTTTAAAAATATAACACAGAAGTTGAGACTTATGTAAAAATATATGCTTAAGACTATAGAAAATCAAAGTGCAAGTCCCTTCAATGGGGAAATATGATTTGATCTATTTGACAATTATATAAAAAAACAAAAAGAAATAAAATATGTTATATTTATGAGCAAATAATAAATCGATTTATAACCATTAAGAACAAATGACCAAAAGAATAAGATGACGTAAATGGTAGAATGAAGCAAAACAATCATTTTCTTGTATTAATATATGTAGAATAAAAGCGAAAAATAACAACAACTACTTGTAATTAAATAAAACAAATCAGGTATTTCAGATCATGATTTGCACATAAGTTGCATCTAGTGCTAATGCATGGACTTACTAATATTTTGATAATGTTTCTTTAGTCTTAATATTTAAGGACAATGAGGGATTTATGGTCCATCTAGGATGCCTCATCCACTAAACTAAACTATCAGAAATAAACTCAAAGCCAACCTTTATCATTCAAATATTTATTAAGCCTTCCTTTAAACGCTTAAATTCAATGCCTCTTCCACATTAGAAAACACATTCTAAAAGCCAACCTCTGTTAGAAAAATCAAACTGACTTAGCTGATGATGACTCCTATCCTTGTGTCCCTAGTCCTACTGTTCTTCTCATTCATTATGTAAGTGAATGATTCATCAACACTATCAATGCCATTAACAATCATATACATCAGATCCCCTCTAGTTCTTTTTTTTTCAAGTGAAAACAAGAGACTTAATTTGGGAAATTATGGAAATTCTTTATGATGTGTCCTTATTTTTTTAAGCGAATTTCTGAGTTTCTTGATCACTGCATAAGAAAACCAAGTAGTAAAACAAATTTGAGAGACTGGATGACTGAGCCATGGATATTTTAGAGAAAAAGCAAAATCATATATGTCACCAAACAATGCAATAGACGGCCACTTAGTAAAGAAAGAACAGTATAAAATGTTTAAACACAAACATTTTTTTATCTCCTTTTTTACCTTAAGATGTAATAAAATGGCTGAATGAGTGGAATTGATCAGATTAGTAGGGTTAACCTTCCAACTCTGCTACCTGAGGAACTTGGGCGGTGTAATTGGACAGATAATGATAGTTATAAAATAAGTACTACTGAACATCTGTGACAAACTTGAAGGGATGATTTACACCATAATCTTTTTAATTTAGTTACCCACTGAACTTGGGTAGCCGAACTGTGGAGACTGAATGTAATGGTTTAGTAACTTGTGATGAATATCTGTGGAAGTATTTTGAAGGGATCATTTGGAATGTAACCACCTATTTTAGTCAACTACTGAACTTGAATATAGTTTAATTGTAGAATCAGGTTGTCATGATCCAGTAAGTAGTGCTGAACATATGAAGAGATCATTTGCATCACAATCTCCTTATCTAGTCAGTTAATGTACATCACTACTTGAACTGCACATATGAAGACAGATTGTAGTAAGAAGTAGTGTTGAACATCTGTGAATGCATTTGATGAGATCACATGTACCATATTTTTCTATTTTAATCACCTAATAAAATGAGCTTAATGAATTGGACAGATTTATTGTGGTGATCAGTAAAATATTAATAAGAAATACTTATGGAAGGATCATATCCACCACAGTCATCTAGTCTACTGAACTTGTCAAGATAGATAAATCTCAATGACCATATGATTAATGTAAGAAACTGTGAAAATACATTAAGAAGAAGCATGTAATAACATCTTTAGTCTATCATAGTGGTTACCAATGAAAGTTTCTTGGACAAAAGGCTTATGGAAATCAGTAAAATAACACATTTTGAATCAGATGTACAATGTAATTGACTTAGAATTTGTATAATCCACATGTAAATTAACATTAATAAGATCATACTTGAGTCATAAACAATTTATAATAAATAAAATAATATCCAAACAGAAAATATCACAAAAACGTATGAAGCAGGCTTTTTATAACCGTACATACAAGGACTTACAGAGGGTTAATTACTCTATATTTGAATGATAATTGTATGTTATCATATATATGAGCCATGGAGCCACGAGTGACATATGTTTGATTCATAGCAAAATCCATATTTTTAACAGGGCAATACTATAATGGATAAATTTATGGCTTCAGGGATAAATATAGAAAGACAAATATTAAAACTGTGATATTGTTAAATGATATGAGAGCAAAAAACAAAATATTCCCATGAAGGAAGTCTTGAAATTCTCCACTGAAGCAAGCAAACTCACACAACAGTGTTTAGAATAAAAACAGGCTAATAAACCACATCCAAATTCAATCAGGTATAATGCATTCAAATGTAAAGTGAAAGCTGGGGTAATGAAAGAGAATTTTCCAATTTAATAAGCCCATTCCATTATAAGATAATAAACAAGGATTTGAAGTTGGTGCAAACTCAAAAACTAAACATTCACAAGCTTCCAGCTGCTCTTGAATTCAATGTATTTTTTTGTGAAAGATGGTTAAAAAAGCTGAAATCACAGTAATCCCATTTGACCACATACCTAACAAGTGTTCCCAATGGATCTAAAAAGTCAATGTTCACATACAATGGAGGGTGTGTTGAAAATTTGTTAAGATGTGTGGTTTTAGACTGACTCCACCATCTCTTTTCAAGACTGTTATAATAGAAATTGAAGTGTTGCAAAATGCTTAATCATAGCCATCAGCCTGAGCATGAGTGAAGATGGAGAAAAAGATCCCAAGGGCAACGCAAGACCTGAAACATCTTTCTTATAAAGTGAGATTAACTTCAGTACAATTAAGAAAACAGAAGTTGTTTTTAATTATATTTAAAAAAATCTTAAAATATCATGTGTAATAAGATTAAAGTAAAGAAATAGAGCTAAACTGAAAATAAGCATTCTGAAAAAATTAAAATCATAAGTTAATGTGGAATATATCACTGATATTTAAATATATTCTTGAAGGTAATCAAATACTGATTGATCAGTGTAATAAATAATTATTTGTAAACACATCAACAGCTAAAAATAATCACATATAACAGACTAGAATTCTAACTGTTGTATTTCAATAAATTGAGGAAAAATTATCAAACTGCTATAAGTTTCCTGCATGCTTGAAACTCTCTATATATACACAATACACACACATGTATCAACAGATATTAAATAAACTTCAAAAATGACATGGATATTTTTGTACATCATGCATGTATATGTGTGAGGTTAGTAACAATAAATATTTTTCAGCACAAGAACAAATGGAATCATGTAAATAAATACAATCTCTGAAAAACGCTATAGTTAAGTAGTAAAAATGTTACACAGATGTATCAATATGAAATATTTGTGTAATTGAAGGAATGTAAAATAACAATATGACAATAAATTATTAAATCATGTACAGGTACATATCTAGCTGTCTGGAATCTACCAGTACGTTGCTGAAACATTTCATTTAATTAAGCACACTTTCATAGCTTTTAACTACTTAAATAATTGTTATATAATACTGAAAATATCCAGCCAGTAATAAAACAGTTATTAAAAACAGAAAGTAACATATAAAGTATATTCATTTGTTAAAAACTCTAGTAGCTAAACAACCTTTTACATGACAATAAATTGCATTTTTGTACAAAGGTTGTTAGGTGTTATTCTTCTTTTTTCAAATTTTGCCTTGAAACAAAAGCATTCTTTCACTTACTAAATTTATTCAAGTTTTAAATGTTTTGAGAAAATATAAAAAAAAATCATGTAAAACAAATTTTAATGTTTTCTAGAAAACTGTACTTTAAACTTTAGACATTGAGAATGAGTAACACAGTATTAAAATATCTTATGTCAATGTAAGATTAACCAATCAATAATTTATCCTTAGAAACACCAGTAATTGAGATCCATATGTTGGCATTTTAAATAAACTTTTCTAAACTATTTACGTACCAATGTGCTTATAGGGTTTCTAATACCATATGAATAACATAAACATGTAAACAAAAGGTGCCATCAATATTGCATATAATTCCACTTATTATGCTGGGGTATGCTACATATCTTAAATAGAAAATGAGTTATTTCAGCCCGTTTTTTGTTTTTATCTGTGTATTTTTAACAATAAGTGCTGTAACAAGAAAACACATAAAGTTACCCAATAAGATACAATATGTGGAGCCCACTAGTTGAAGGTTAATATAATTTTTGAATATTTCTAAAAATAAATAATATACTAGTTACCATGTAATGTAAAAACCGTAAAGATTTCAGAGTTATTCTATGAAAAAGACGGTGTTGTCATTTACACTGATTGGTCAATGACTACTTCAAGTAAGTGTGAATAAAGCTTAATACCTAAATTAAACTACATCAAGGATTACATATTTCTTCTGAGAGCCAAATAAAATCCTTTTCAGCAGCCCAATGCATATGCATGCTACCAAGTACCACTAGAGCATGCATAATATTATGACTGTTAAATGCCATGTCAAATTTTCCAGGTAACCATCGTTCGGGTATTTGTGTGGCACTAATAACCGCTCCTATCACTGACCACAAATCCTGCATTGCGACATGCACTAGAGCCTGTAAAAAAGAAACAAAACAAAATACTTTAATAAGATTGTAAAGTAAAAAATACGAATCAAAATATTTATTTCACAGAATTTCACAAACAGAAATCAGTAGAACATTACTAAATTTACAAAACCAATTGAAATGTTTAAATATAATATAAAGTATAAATACAGATAATTAACCAAGATCAGAAAAACCCACCTGAATTAAAATAATATACAAGATAAATATAGTATTTAGGTTTAATAATACAGTTCTCAAAATTTTAAAGGCAAGATGGATTGAGCTATAATTAATTCATATCAAGTAACTAGTGCTACTACAGTATTCTTAAGTGCTCTACGTAACACAAATCCTCATAGCTGTGTCTTTAAATAAGTTTACAAAAAATTAACTAAACTACTAGAAAGCTTATAGTCTTTCTGGTGAATCTGAAAGGTTACTTACCCTTAACTTTATAATTCAATTTGATTGTCAAAACTGAAAACACATTTAATCTAACTAAGACTAAAAAGTTAGTTTTCTAGCAAGTGCTGATGTACACAGAATACTAACAAACATAATTTACTGAAGAGGAAAAGTCTTTATGATTAAACCACGTATATTAATATAGAGTTTGCTCTGGAATTTAGCACAAAAGTTTTTAACAAGTGGACAAAATACTAATACTTTACTATGCATTTCCGAATGCACAAAGTAAGTCTTTAACTGTGGTTTTATTGAAAAACCTAAACAAAGAAAACTTCTAAAAAAAGTAGTTGTACATAAGTCTTGCCTTGAACTTAAAAACTTGTATTTGAAAATCATTTATTGAAGTTAACACATTATATTTCAAGATACTGAAGTTAATATATTTATCTAAGAGAAAACAATAAGAATTGTTTTCAGTAAACAATTATGCTATTTAAGGTTCAAAAGAAGCTAAATGAAAAAATTATTATTTATTGTAACAAATCTTATGTTAACTGAAGTTACTTAATTCATGTTACACAGTATATATATAAATAACCTCATAACATGAATATTTCACATTGTTATTACATTTTTTAAAACTGGATACCATATTTTTTCTCAGATAGTGTTATTAATTGACAACATCACACTATTAAAACCTGAAGCAAGACAAAACTGTATCTGTATTATATGTTTTATTAATCACATTTTAAGAGTACATAGATAGATCTATACTAATAACTCTCAAAATAGAAACTATTACCATGTCACTCTCAAATGTAAGTCTAGCACAGACTACCTAAAGATTCTTAAGTGTCTCTCAGTAGATCAGCTGTAACTATCTGCTGATATCAATACTGTTTTGAATTTCATTCCTCACCATTAGATATCCTGCTAAACTGTAGAAGTTCAATGTTTATACTCAGGCCCTCTCAGAGGTTCAGAGAGGCCCGGGCCACTTCTATCTTTTGAGGCCCCAGGCTATATTAAAAAATAAAAATTGATGACACATGAAAACAAAATAAGACAATCATTAGCCCAAAAGAAAAGTGAAATATAATTTGAATATTTAATCTGTATATATAACTTGCAGCTCTAAGCTGAGAGTGGGTGTTACATTTTGGTCTGTTACATAAAAACAAGTCTAGAAACTTAACAAATGAAAAAAAATAATAAGTGTCTAAATTTGTGGCCCAGGCCAAGTGGCCCTGCTGGTCCCCTCCCCCTCTAATTGATCCTATTTATACTAATTGGTAAGTCAATACTCATTTACTTAAGAGTGACAAGGTATGTTTGATTCATGAATTTCTGCAACTTAATGCATTAGGACATTTGAAGACTTTGTAAATTTGAATATTTTAAAGGCACTAATCATTTTGAAATACTTTTAGCAATAGTCTTCACTTTCACACCTAAGTTCTACATAATCAGTAATCCCAGAAAAGTGCAATGAAAGATAAATGGATAATCTTCAGACATTTTGTGTGATACCTTAAACAACCTTATAAGGGTCTTATAATGTTGCATTGAAACTCAAACTTAATTAATTCAAACTTGCAAGACTTTAATAAAAATTTATTAAGTTAGCCAGATACAGAACTTATAATAGTATTGGAAATCAAAGTATATCACTGATAAAAATTGACATTGATAACTAGTTTCATCATGCTAGGTTTTACCTGTGGGTGTCCTCCACCAAATTTAGTCAGGCGAACACACAGAACAGCCAACCGCATCAACAGCAGGTAAAGGAAACTAATTCGTCGTTGCCAAGCACTTGAAGCAAAAGTAGCTGCACAGAGAGCTTTAACTGAGAACAACAGATACACAAACATCACACCATAGCGTATAAACAAGGGCAAGCAAGCCATCCCAGCATAGAGAGTAGTAAAAGCTCCTGTGTTGAGAGTAATATTTTTTTTTCAATTATTCTATTTGGTAAGAGGCAAAGACTCAAACCTGATGAAACTAGCTGTTATTCATCATACCAACTTTTCTTACATTGAATATCAACAAGTTTGTAATCTCATTAGTAAAATATTAGCTATAAAATTTACTGTTGGATATTTTTTATTAGAAAACAGCAAATATCAAAAGTGGGATTTCAACAAAAAATAAAGCATGTACTAATTGGCCCACTTATGGTAGTATAAAAGTGTTTCAGGTTAAAAATATATTAATATCATTAACGTTTTTAGGTACATTCAGTAGAGTACTCTAATCATTGAAAGACATATACACAATTATGTTTCTCTCTTCAGGATTTTATTTGGACCATTGTAAAGATGAAATAAATATGTTGAAAACTAATGCTAAATATTTATACATACATACATTCATTTTAGTAAAATTACATTAAATTAAGAAAACATAATGGAAATACCTTACTTAATTAAAAATATTTATTTTTGATTTATAATTATTGAGATACACACTTATACATAAGTTTGAAAAATTAAGTGACTTCATATGACCTCCAAAACTTCTTACTAAATAACATCATTGTTACAGTAAAAGATATGTATTTAAAAATACTTTTATATTTATGTACAGACTAAACATATTCATTTAACTAACATTTGTACTCTTATTTAAAGCTATCCTATGAAAGCAGTTACCACAAGTCTGAGTGACCCAGATTCCAATCATGTCCCATTGCAAAAGCTTCACATAAGTCTTAGATCCTCCTTCATGATTCATGAACAGATGGTAAGTAGAGCTTCCTAACCATGGTGCAAATGTGGCAACTGCATGGCAGTAAGGCAAGATAGGTATCTGTATTTGGTCCCATGGCAACAGGTATGGCAGCCAGATGAGTGCATAGACTAGAGCCAAGGCTTGCAGGAGAGAACATAATAAATACCATAAGACAAATATTTCATAAAATAGAGCTTACCCATATAATATGTACACATCAGTTACTATAATGAGTTTGTTGATAAAAACATAATTTTCAAAAACTATTAATATTGAGAGAATTTTTACTTTTTCTGGAGACTCTCTCAGTTGTTACAAAATACAGTATTACAAAAGGTAAACAAAAAAGTATTAATCTCATCCTAGCAGAATAATAATTATTTTTATTTAAGAATATATCAACAAACTTTTACCCAAAATATTTGTGACCATAAAACTTGACTGACTGGATTCACAAATGTCTTATTGACTCTAAATAAAATAAATTTGATACTACACCAATATCTAGAATGATATGAATTGATCTTTAGTACCATTTCAATATAAAGACTTGGTACAAAATTTCCCTTAGTTTCCATACACTGAATGTAGATTCTTAAACATTTATTAATTCTAAGACTATAAACCTCCTTGTCATAAAAATTATAAAGAATTATGTTCTATGAGTTTATGCCAGTTATTAAATTTGGGTTTAAATAAAATACAATATCTGCAATAAAAAAATCTTTTGATTTTTTTTCTTACTCAACTCAAAAACTTCAAAGTAAATGCTGTTTCATTTAAATTATGAAGGAAGACAGCCCCTGAGAAATAATACTCCCTGTTTTAAATACACAGAACTTATAGAATAAGATCAGAAAATTGAAACTGAGAAATGATAAAAATAAAATCCTTTGCTGTATATATATATATGCTTTAAGCACAAATATGCAAGAATGGAGTACTTGGTTTTCAGGCTCATGATACTAAGAATATTCATGTATTGTATGGCATTTTGTGATGATAGAACTACCATTACTGCTTGTAATGCAGGTATTCAATACAGTGAAGCCTATTTTGATAATTTTGTGCAGCAGTGACAATATTAGAAAACAAAAGACTGAATTTTAAATATTTTAACAAGTAAAAGTATTCTTATACATTTGAAGTTCATACTGTTTAAAATATGCCATAGGTATCTGATATTTAGTAATAATTCTTCTTCAAGCTAGTTTTTTACCTTATTTGTTGTTGAAAATTATAAATTAATAAAAGATACAGATTTTTAGGAAAACTTAAGAATAAAACAAGTTAAATCACTGTATCCTAATAAAGTACCTTAATCTTTTATTTTAAAATTCAATATAAACAATTATTTTCACACTGTTGTTACTGATTGTTATAAAAACCTATGGTAAAATACATATAAGCAAATAGTGGTTTCATTTATAAAGCAATGTCTCCAATTGGCTCAGTAGTGAGCATGATATCTGTATTGCTAAAATTCAGGGTTTGAACCTCTTGGTGGATGCAATGCGGATATCCCACTGTGCAGCTTTATGCTAAAATCAATGAAAATTTTAAGTAATTGTGAAATAATTATTTTGATAAAAATACATAAACTGTGTGATTCTGTAAAAACATTAATCATGTCATTACATATGCATGGAAAATTTTATTGTATTTAGACTTAAACCTTGAACTAGCCTTTTTTAACTACTTCATAACATCTTTTTCACTGTGCAAAAGTAAGTTATTATACTCTAAGTGCTGACTAGAAATGATCAACACAAGTTCCTTGAGTTTCTTCCAAATATGTTTTAGTTCTGTACTGTGATAAGATGGTTATTGTATACAAATACTAGAAAGACAGGTAGAGGATTAAATATAGACAAACTGCTAAAGCTTGTTGGAATTTTTAATCTGATAGGGTTGCTAGTGAAGTCTTTCAATAGCAAAAAGTATTAATTACTTAAATTTTGAAAATGTAGATACAGTTTTATCAATCACACCTCTTAAGACAGATTTCCACTGAAGATAAGTGTGTACACTGCTGACTGAAAATTCAATCTAGGTTTTGTAAGCTACAGAAAATAAAATTAAAATGGCATGTTTGGTACAATACACTATTGAAAATTATTAAAAATGTGGATTTATAAAGAACTATAAAACAGTTAAGATTTATAGAAATGGCTCAAAACAAAGGATATATATATTTTAACCTGTGAATGTTTACGTTAGATGATTATATGTTTCATTTAAATTCACAATAATTCCTTCCAGTTATCTTAAGCAATCAAATAAATAACTTACCAGATAAGTGACTGATATTTCTAAAATATATTGGTATTAAACTTATTTTAAACACTGATATGTAATTAACATTTATCATAGCTTTAAAAATTTACATTAACACTTTAATCATTCCTAAAAACATGCTTAAAAATACATGGTCTATAAAAAATTGACTGGAAAGTAATAGTACATTGAAAGTTAATAAATATTGTAGACATTTATCCATCAATATACAGAAACACATATTACATATTACTGGAGGCCTTCTATATTATTAATTAGATTTGCAAATTATTAATTACCGTGGGTAAATATATTTATTGTTTCATTATGAAGATAAAACAGACTTTGCAAACAGCCCCAAGTTGTCAAAATTGGTCGGTAACCTTGAATAACATATGGATTAAACTGCAAGTGGACGGGAACCTGGTCTCGTCGAAGTAAGAGTCGGTGATTATTTAGTATCTCTATCCCTTTAAAATTAACGTTTTTACTTTTATTCTTGCATTTTGAGTCTCCGTCCAAAGACTCTGAATCAATATTTGTAGATACTAGGTCAGTAGAAGGAATATCGGAGAAGCCATTCCGTAAAACATCGCTATATTCAAACCCATTTTCTCTGGCCGTTTCATTTTTATTTTCAAATCCCAAGTTCACGTTCTTAGTCGATCTATACATCTTGCTTGAAGTCCAAATATATTAAGAACACCGCAGCTTAGTCAGTTAACTTTGTTAAGGCAGCAAATATGAAATACCATTCTTAATAGTTTTGAATGTTTCATGAAACTGTTACTTAAATAACTTTATTATAACAAAATTAAAATACGAAATGAAACTTTGCTACATGTATTTCTTATTTTTATATCACACGTCACAAATTGCTTCATATATAATTACGGGATAATCAATATTGAACTAGTAACCATGGCAATTGGATAGTGCCATCTAGAAGTAGATATTGCAGTTTTAGGTGTAATTAAGAGCCGAATACATTCATACATTTTTGTCCCTTTGAACTTAAAAGAAACCAACAGCACCAAAAAAGAAGATGGAAACAGGAATCTAACTTGGAAAAAATAAGTTCATAACTTAATATTTATAATAAAAGCAATGTTTAACCAAGCTATATAACGCAAGCATTGAAAAACAACAACAAAAAACAAAACAAATTAGTTTCATTTTTGATCGCATAGTATTTAATATTGAAACAATGATTCAGCCAGTAAAGGTTTATTTTGTTCAGAGAATTATTTTCATAGATAATACAAAACTCACATTGTAGAGTATTGAGACATCGTCAAAATTTTAACTACTTTCACTAATCTTAGTCACACGTTTTTGTTTTATAACAGTCAGGTGTTACTGTTACCATCAGAGTGAAAACAGAAAACAAACTAACATGCCATTAATCTTATGATTTCAGAGTAACGTAAAATTAATAATATTTTAATTCATATGATAAAATTTTCCGGTTAAACTGTTTTAATGTTTTTTTTAGAAAGTTATTCAGTATCAGTTTAGATTTTGTTA